CAACTCTTATTTCATTTTTAATTGAGTGGAATATCATCATGTGCCACATGATGTTTCCATTAACAATGAATCGCGTATGTGACGGTGGCCCTATAGGTTGTACCACAGAGCTCAGGTGTGCAGTAGGACTCACCATCCAGGCTTGATCAGTACAGTCTGTGATGTCTGCACAAGATCCATCGCTATTCTCAGAACATATTCCCATCCTTAAGTGACACAACTGTTGATTCTTAATTGGAAAAACTATCTATGTGCAATGACAGTGTTTCCATCCACATTATGGATGGGGACCCAGGAAGACGGGCAATAAAAGCGGCTGGAAATATTTGACCTTATACCTGATGGTGCTCAGGAAGATTATGAGGAAAGGTTGTTCCAATTCAGGCCTCGTCAGCTCTGGGCTGTCTGTGCCTATTTGTATGTCTCTGGACTTGATGAAATATGTTTCCTAGCTCTGAAAGTAACTACAAAAACCAAGCAAATAAAAGAAATGACAGCACACACCAAAGCAAGCAATTATTGGTTAAGGAAAAAATGCCTGGGAAACAGGCCAGTGGAGTTGTGAAATATGAAACTCGCATAATTGCATTTTAACTATTAAGATAGGATTTTGAAAAGCAACTGAAATAGACATTTTACCAAATTTATTTTAAAATGGCAAAGCTCCTATATACTCCTGTATTTACATTAAAATAACAGAAGTCACCTGAAGTTGAGTAAAAAGATGCCTTTTTTTCTCATTCACATTTTCTGAGATCAATACTAATGTGAGACACTCAAAAGTTCTAACGATTATCAGTGATCTTTTATTCTTGAGACATTTCCTCCAAAGCTTGTATCAACAATTATGTGGCACAGCCTTGATAATGCAGTGGTTAAGGGAGCTGGATCCTAGATGGATGACCAAGTTTGAGTTCTGATTCCTGCATCTTGCAAACACACCAGGCATGTGTGCCTGCATGTCCAAAATCCTGAAAGGATGGAGAAATGGAGGAAAAAGAATTCGGTGTGATTGTGCACTACTGGGAAGTGCCTTCTCTCTCTACAAGTGCGTGCACTCTACGGCAATAAACAAGACAAAATAAAAAACAAACAAAAAACCCCAACTATTTGTTAAGCACTGATTATGACTTAAAGGTACCCTAAAATGAGATCTTCTTTATAATCAAATAACAGCAACATTCAATGACTGCCACAATAAGCTATGGGCCCTTCCAAGCTTAATCTGTTTTTGTGAACTTATTGAATACTGATATCAACCATAAGATTAATGGACTGATTCTTTTTTTTTTTTTCCCTGAAAATAAAAAGGGGGCAGAGAAACTTTAGGTAACTTGTCCGCGGTTACCCAGATAATAGAGAGCACCAGGATCTGAATCCAGACTGGGTGACAGAGCCTAAGATTTTCCTCATCACTTTCTACTTTTTTTTTTTTGGGAGAGGTTTTTGCTATAGGGCGCATGTGCTTGCCAGAGAGACAGAGACAGAGAGACAGCAAGCAAGAAATCACCCCCCAGGGGAAATGACTACACTGCAATCCCTTCTCCTCCATTCTCCTCTCGGGATCTTGGGCATGCACGCACACGCGCCTGGCGTGAGTTTTAAGCCACTGGGTTCGGGACACGAACCAAGGTCAACTACATGGGAGTTCAACAACATAGCCATTACGCTAACTGCTGGTCCCATCACTTTCTACTTCTAAAAATAACACACTAAGTAATGACAATGTTAACATTGTAATATTGACTTATTAACTAAATTAATTTATACAAGGTACTGCAGGTGCTCTGCTGACAACAAATGATGTAAAAATGGACAGAACTGCTTGTGCTAATCTTAAGTAGCTTCAAATCTAAAAACTTAAAATAACATAAGCAGCTTTGATGCAAGAGATAATAAACCACTATTTGTTAAGCACTGATTATGATTTAAAGGTACCCTAAAATTAGATCTTCTTTATAATCAAATAACAGCAACATTCAATGACTGCAATAAAAAAATACTATGATTTAGAGACACTCAAATGGCATAGTGAATATAGGTAAAAAGACAAGCTCTAAAAATGTGGTAGCATTCTTTGGAGTCCTCTGACACACATGGAGTCAGAAATCCTAGGTTTGAAAACTTGATCTGGTTTGTTCAAATTAATTAACCTCTCTGATTCTTTTTTATCTCACAGTGTTGGCATTCAGTAAGAACATATGTCTTTTAGTACATTTTCAGTAGGAGATTGAACCTGACTGAATTAGATCAAACATAAGAGTAGCTTTCCAGGAGGGTCCTGAAATGAATGAAGGGAATTTCAGAAATCACATGGTAAGTTTTAGGGGCTTTAGGAAGGTAAACTGGGACTATAATTGGTTGACTGTAGGTCAATTGCACTAGGACGTGTCTGGCTGGTGCCTATAGTCAGGGGAAATGAAAAATGTGACTGCCATGCTAGACCATGCAGTTCCCAAAAGGGCAGACTGGAGAACAGATGCCAGTGGAATCTAAAAGACAACACAAATAAAAGTGCTAATAATTAACAGTAACATTAACAAACACAAACGAGCACCTCCCATGTTCCAGGCAGCACTGTTGGATCCTATCACGCGCAGGGTGCAGCATAATGCTTGGAGGAAAGCCAGGGCTATGCACAGAACACTGGATAGTGTAGGAGAGCAGTGGGGGAGTATTGTGGTGGGCTCAGATGGTGAACACTCTAGAATGGGAGAATAAGTTATGTTCAATTACTTTGACAAATCAAAGCAACACAGCCACAATTCTATGTTAGGATAACTAACCTGGATTAGAGGAGGGATGAAAGGAAAGTAGGGAATTTACTGCATAAACCATCTCAAGTATAAGTTCAACAAAGACTTGAGTTCAGTAGGTGGCAGTGGAAATGGTATGAGAAAGAAAAAAACAAAATAAGACACCGACGTGAGGCACTGGAAAAGTAGAGATGGAGATGAGAAAGAAATAAGAAAAGTTCCAAATGGCTAAAAAATTCCCCATTGAAGGATTAAATGATGATGGTACTTAGCTAAACTGCCAAAGTTAGGGGTGAGAATTAGTTTACAGGGACAATGATGCTGCATTTGGTCTAGGAATAGTGAGCTGGAGCAGGCAATGAATTCTTGGACAGTGACAGCAAGCAGGCAACTCCAAATGTGGTTATCTTATCTCTGGAGAAAACTTGAGCCTATGTAACAGATGAACCTGCAAAAACTCAGAGCTTAGAGAAAGAAGAAATACAGATACAATAAACTGACATTTAAATTCCAATGCAAAATGGGTTTAGCCAACGTTTGTAAAATTTTAAAAATTTAAATTTATTAGGATTTATTAGTAACACAATTACACAGAACAAAGTTCAGGAATTCATCAATGATGGTCACCAGTATGTGCTTCTTTGTGGCCTTTTAAACCATATTTCTCATGATTCAAATTTATTTAGTTGAATTTCATACACGGCTTCACAATGTGGATATTACAGTTCTTCCATCAGTAAAATTAAGGAAAACATTTTTTTTGTGTGAAAGGCACATGAAGAATCTAAACTAACACATTTAAGGAATTTTGATAACTTTAAATTTCTTTACATTACAAAGAAGAAAAAAAATTCATCAAATAAAACAGACATGAATGTAGTTTATGGTTACCCAAATACACACATATACACATACCTTGACAAATATGTATCAACAAAATGACAACACATAACTTAGGAAAACTACTTATCAATGGAGCTTACTGATTCATTTTTTCAAGATGAGTAAAAAAGGGAGGAGAGGTGGGGAATGCTGTTCATTTTGCTGAAACAAGGTCACAGAGACATCATGAATAACCAAAAGAAAAATGAGTCTATCGAAGTTCAATACCTAGCTGATAAGCAACACTTATTTGCACATACATATAATCACTGACTTTATTAAATACTATTACTCATTTTTCTAAGTGTAATTGTCCATTTCATTCTCAGAAATAATAGCATAATTTAAAAAAATAATATAAACTGAAAGATGTGGAGGAAATCTGAATATCCGTGGGAACAAAGTAATTTTAATATGGTGTGATAGTTAAATTTGAAACTAATTACATACATCAATTTAAAGCTTGCATTATATCAGCAATGGCATACTCAAAGATCAGCCTTATCTTCCAAACAAGAAACTATCATGTATACTAAGGTACAAGGGATTTCCCAAAGGAAATACACAAATGAATGTCTCAAAATTCATTATGCTAACATTTTTTTACCCACAAAAATGCTCTCAACAACCTCCTAAACTTAGTTATAAATAAAAATGTAGTTATTTAAAGTGTATAAAAATTAATATGGCATCACCTTTAAGGCAATGCATGAATACCATTCAAATATTAAAATTCGAAGTGAAAATAAACCAAAAGAATAAAAAGAAATTGTTTATAATAAATCTAAGATAGTATATCTAAAAAATCAGAAATTTTAGTTTTTCAAACCAAATCAATGTAGAATCAGAGCAGCATGCATTCTTGAAATAAAAATTTAAATGCATACAATGTTTAAATAATAGATCCAAAGGCAGGTATATTCATCCTCTTTAAGAATATTTCAATAAAACACATTAAATTTAAAGAACAAATGTTATTAAAATAGTCTGTGCAATATTTTTACAAATAACATTTTTATGAATACAAGTATACATAAAATCAAGATAAGGGCTGCAACTTTTCCTAATATTAATTACTCGACTTAGAAATTTACAGGACATGAATATAAATAAAGCTATTTAAAACTGGCAAACATGGTAATAGTCTGTCATTCAGTACAAGGTACTTAATATTTATGTTATTTCCAATGCCATCAAGCTAGAATTGTAAGTTGCCACTCTTAAAACCTAAAACTAATGTGGAAAACCAAAGTTATAAATACATGTATACATACATTTGCATATTTACACTTACGCAGAAATCATCAATATAGTAGAGCCCAGCTTTAACACTGTCCTTCAGTTTCAAACTGCAAGACCATCTTTTATGTTTAAGAAAGGTCCTTCTGTTACTTTCAGTTAACAAAGGAAAAAACAAAAAACAAAAAAAGAACAAAAAATTAAAAAACAAAAACAGAACAACTTTGGTCAAGTCCCAGATGCATTTGCCATACACTACATTCTGCGTTGCTGCAAGACTCTAGTCTAGAGAGATCCATATATAAGTACTCATTTGGTTTGAAAATGCATGTTACCATTAACTGTAAAACTCAGAAGAGACCACAATCTTTTAGATTATTTTTTATGATGACATCTGTTACGGCATCAAAAACAAACTGCACATTCTTAGTATCTGTGGCACATGTGAAGTGGGTGTATATTTCCTTTGTGTCCTTTCTTTTATTGAGATCTTCAAACTGACATTGAATATATGCAGCTGCCTCTTCGTATGTGTTTGATCCTGAAATGGGAAAAGGAAAGACACATATGCAAGACGTTAAAATAAGTACAATGCTAGGCAAAATGGACCTAAAATACCAGTTAGCGTTAGTTTCACACGTATAACATTCGTGGACTTCATAAATGCATTTTCCTTTTTAGAACAGCAGAAATGATTTCTTCAAAAAGAAAAATACCCCCATTAATTATACTAAATGGCTGTAATTTATCCCTAAGTTTAAAAATTAAAATAAAATAAAATAAAAGACTCTTCCTGGCATTCCAGAAATATTTGCCATGATCTTTGTTACTGTGCCAGATCTCCTTTTTTTCCTGTTATTTCCAATCCTGTACATCCCAACACTAAACTACTCCATGGCCTTTCCTATGTACACATTAATGAGCATTGCTCATTCATTCATCTTTATTCAGAAATTGTATAAGGACCTACAATGTGGTTTAGGGCTCTAAGGCAACAAAAAATAAATGATACACTCCTGCTTTAAGGATACTGACACTCTAAAAGTTTCTTTCTGACAGTATCCAAAGATAATCATACATATACTGTAATCTAGCAATTCAGTTCCTAGGTGTAGACTTGACAGAACCATATACAGATGTTCACCAGAAGACACAGAAAGAGTGTAATTAGCAGAACTAACTTCCACTTTAGGAAGCAACCTGGAAGCTCACCCACAGTAGCTGGCTAACAAACTCCAGTGCATTCATACAATGAGCTGCATACAGAAATGAGAAATGAGAATGAAAACACTACGGCTACCACACTACTCCAATGAATCTCATAAACACCACTGAACAAAAGATGCCAGACAAAAAAAGAACACATACTGTTTGACTTAAATGATGCTTGTAAAACAATCAAAATGAACTGGCGAGGACAAAAGTCAAGATAATGTTTACTCTGTGTGTGTGTGTGTGTGTGTGTGTGGTGGGTACAGTGGGTGGCTGATTCGTTAATACTGGGAAGAGGCATGATGGGGCTTCTAGGGTCCTGGAAATGTTCTATTTTTCACCGGAGTGGTGGAAAAGAGTATGTCCATCTTTAAAATTCAATGAGCTTTGCAATTATGCCAAGTGTGTGTGTTATGCATTATTACATAACCATATTTTATAATATATATTAATGCATATAATATCATGATATATACATACTACTTCATTTGAACAACAACAACAACAACAAAAAAGACTTAAATTCCTCTGTTACAGTAATAATCCAAAATTATTTGCCTGGCTCTCAAGGGCCTCTGCTAGCCAGCCTGCTCTGAAGTACCACCCTGAGATCATTCATCCGTATGTGAGGCTCTCTGTATGTCATGAGGCCCCTGTGTACGAACTGCCTGCCTCCTGTTGTTCTGCAGGGCTTCCCCTCTACTGCACATCAGCAGCGGATAGTGGTATCTCCACTGATAACTGCATATCTTCCTTCACATTTGTTAAAACGTGGTTCTTCATGAAACTTTTCTGTTAACTGGATCCAGATGGGTTCTCTAGCACTTAAACACTTTTTCTTTTCCTAAATACAATAGAAATACGCCCTGTTTTTCCTAAATACTGCTTTACAGATTCTCAAATTCTTTTCCAGCATTAGGTTTCCTAAACAAGAATATGCAATGCTGAAAAATAAATATCATATTCTATTTCCCCTAACCTCCTTTTATATGTTACTGTACAGCAAACATCCATAGGAATGTTGTGTTTGAAGTGCTATGAAAGCATTTATTGTGAAATTCATTATATTGGGTATTAGGGATAAAAGATAATAAAACCATAGGCAAGAAATGTGATATTTTTAAACATGTGATAGAATTGTCCTTAATAAAGTTAAGTATTGATGATAAGATTGTTCAAGAATGGAGAACTGTAAGACTTATGATAAAATCAAAAGGGAACGACAACAGATTCAAATTTTAAAAATAACCTGAGCTTGGGACCAGCAGTTAGCATAATGGCTATGTTGCTGAACTCCCATGTAGCCAACTGCAGGTCAAGTCCTCCGGCCTGGCTTAAACTCATGCCGGGCGCATGTCCGTGCATGCCCAAAATCCCAAGATGAGAACTGAGGAGAAGGGATTGCAGTGTGGCCATCCCCCCAAAAGGTGATTTCTCGCTTTCTATCTCTCTGTCTCTCTCCGTCTTTCTGGTGAGCGCATGCACCCTACAGCAAAAACATCTCCAAAATAAATAAATAAATAAGTAAATAAATAAATAACCTGAGCTTCTTTTGAGTTTCAGGGGCTAAAAAAAAAAAAAAAAAAAAAAAAAAAAAAAAAAAAACCCTTACATATATCCAACAGTTAGCAATGCAAGCCTGAGGTTCCAGAGAGAAATTACACTTGATGACATAATTTCACATAGGGAGAATAAAAATGACTATGAAAGTATAGATTACTTAAAAAAATTACAGGACTGAAGGTGGAGTCTGATGAAATGGTTATGCGCAGTAAGAGAAAAAGGAGGCAGTGAGAACAGAGAGAGGCAGGAGATAAACTGAGTCGTTTGGAGGCTACATATGGTTCTTCTCTGGGAAGCAATTGCCATAGAAATTGAGAGTTGAGGTTGAAGCAAAAAGCAACTGAATCAACATTTAGTGCATGTGCTGTGGATTTTAAATTACACATCTTTTTTTTTTTTTAAGAGATTTTTGCTATAGGGTGTGTGTACTTGCGGGACAGGCAGAAAGACAGACAGGAAGTGTGAAAACACCCTGCCAGGTTAGATGGCCATGCCACAATCCCTTCTCCTCCATTCTCCTCTTGGGATCTTGGGCAGGCATGCATGCACACACACATGCCCAGTGTGCCAGGTCTGGGACTCAAACTGTGGTCAACTTCGTGGGAGTTCAGCAATGTAACCATAACACCATCTGTTGGTCCAAACATTCTTTTTTTGCGGGGGGGTGAGGATTTTGCTATAGGGCGCGTGTGCTCTCCAGACACAGACAGACAGAAAGCGAGAAATCACCCCCCCAGGGGGATGGCCACACCACAATCCCTTCTCCTCCATTCTTCTCTCGGGATCTTGGGCATGTACACACACACACACACACACACACACACACACGCCCGCGTGAGTTTTAAGTCACCAGGTCCGACTCTAGAACCACGGTTGAGTACATGGGAGTCCAGTGACATAGCCATTACCCTAACTGCTGGTCCCAGTCTAAACATTCTTGAACACTGTACACCTGGCAAGGAAAGCACTAACAAGTACATTCGTGGTTGCTTTGAAATCCCTGTTAGGTACACCATATTTATAAATTCATCTGGAAGCTCTGGTGATATGAATTCATTCAAACCGGCTACCTCACCAAAGAAAATGACAAAAATAAACTGTAAGATTAAAGTAGGGAAAACCTGAGCCACCTTGATTCTGGATAATGTCAGAAATTGAACAAGTGATTTTATTCCTAAGAACCACTAAAACTGTTTTTGAATAAGGTGACTTAGGATACTATGACTTCCCCAAAAAGAGCAAAAGTTTTTAACAGAGAAACTCTACAAAATTATCTCAAATTTAAGTATAAATTTACAGTACAAAGGGAAGCTGAGCATGATGATATTCAGCAAAGAATTCTTCCCTTTTGGTCCATTGAGAAACTAGATGTGGCCTTGCAGTTAATGGCCAGAGTGAAGGAAGTGATTATGGACTTGGGTTTGTAATTAGACCCTGTGGCTTCCTTAGCCCCACTGTTCTCATCTGAATGAGTGAGGACATTGGAGCACTGTCATTTCAGATTATCTTTACAACTCCTGCAAGCTGGCAGTAAATGCTCAGCATACAATTTACTCAGGGCAAGACTGACTAAAATTTTGTTTACAATGAATTAAGGTCTCAAAACTTTCTTTAGAAAACAAAACAAAACAAAACAGGAAGGACAGGATGAGGGTAAGTAACTATATTAACTATTCTTCAGAATTTTAGGATTTAGAGATCACGGGCCAGCAGGTAGCGTAGTTCCTAAGACACTAGACTCCATGGTCAACTGTGGTTCAAGTTCTGGATCTGAAAGCTTGAAAATTGTGCCAGACATGTGTGCCCAAAATCCCAGGAGGAGAATGAATAAGGGATTATGGCATGGCCATCCCCTTGGGTGGTGATTTCTCACTTTTTCTCTCATTGTCTGTTTCTCTCTTTCCTGTAACACACATGTCCTATGGCAAAAACCTAAAAATAAATAAATAAATAATATTTTAAAAAGATTTAGAGATCATATAAACTAGTGGTATTTAAATTCTTTTTTTTTTTTAAAGGCACAGAATTCTCTCCAGTAAAATAAAATCTTACCCAGAAGTCCAATATATAACACAGACAAAAGCTGAATTACTCTGCTTTAATGAGAGCAGAGTTGCCAGGTGAGGGGCAGGTAAGTATTTCTGTCCCCTGTACCCACTTTCAATAGCTGCCTAAGAAGTGCTCCATGGAACTCAAGTACATCTAGGGTTTTAGCTCAACTCCTTACATTAAACAGATGGAATACTCAGACTAGGTAAATTAACTGTCTTGTTCAAGATCAAAGAGCTAATTATGAGTAAGTCATGACTATTTTTCAGGTCTACTTTTCTCACTCCAGGGCATTTTCTATAGTAGGAAAATTGAAGTACCATTAATAATCTCATTGACAAACCTTGGACTTTTTGTGTAACTTCCTCTTACTCTCCAAAGGAGTCAGCTGCCTCACGGGTTCCTTCTTCACTGTTCCCTTTACAATGCTACTCATGATCCTTACGGTATATGTTGCTCTGCTACTCTGTGTTGTCTGTTTATTAGTATATCAGTCTCTGAGATTAGACAGTGAGCAGGGACAGGTCTTAATTACTATGTGTCTCAAAATATCTGATAAGGAATCTGAATGAACAAACCAACTGATGTGCAGGCATCACTGAAGATACCTCCCAGCTTTTCCACATAATGAATGTTATTTTTAACCATTTTATTCACATTTTAAAGAATGAACTGTGCACAAATGAAGTTTGATAACATCTTTCAAAGATACAGTTCAAACAGCTTTAATCTGAAAATCCAAAATCCAAAAAGCTTCAAAATCTGAAACTTTCTGAGCCCTGATAGGACACCACAAGTGGAAAATTCCACATCTTAGCTCACGTAATGGGTCACAGTGAAAATGCTGCAATACGAAAATATTATATAAATTACCTTCAGGCTAGGTATAGAAGACGTATATGAAACAAATGAATTCCACATTTAGACTTGGGTCCCATCCCTAAGAAATCTCATTACATATCTGAAAATATTCCAAAATCCCAAACACTAATATCTCCAAGCATTTCAGAAAAGGAATACTCAAACCTATGTAATGTAAGCCAAAAATTTAAATTAACAACTGCAATCTTGATTTAGGAAGATTTTCACTTAGAAATATGTGACTGAAGTTATTTATAGAAAGTAAAATACCTGCATATTCTGGATAGCATATAGTGAGAGGGCTCTTTTTGATTTTTTCTTCAAAGAGATCCTTCTTGTTTAGAAAAAGTATGATAGATGTATCTGTAAACCATTTGTTGTTACATATGCTGTCGAACAACTTCATGCTTTCATGCATTCGATTCTGTAATAGAAAGGATTAACACCCATCTGTCACTCATAGCAAGGATTTAGGGAATATTTTTAAAATAAGAAGTGGTACAAGAAAACAGATTTTGGTCGATTATAAAATAGATATCATACCATAAAAGTACATTTCTGCCTATGTTAGGAAAGACGAGTGTCTAATCATCACTCATCAATTCTGTATTCAACCATTACCTGATATGTCCTGCACTGTGTCTGGGAAAACCCTGTGGTGGGAGATTACAATATAGGGGTGCCAGTGTGAGCATCTGAAAAGAAACGCCATTGATACAGAGTTTATTTCAGTTTCCATTAAAAGATAGTAGGCGCTTTTAAAGGTTAATAAATTGAACTGAATAAGCTGAAACCCAACTAAGCCAAATGCTGTAAGTATTAGGGAAGCAGTCTCCTTTCCTTCCAGCATCTGTGTTCCAAAAGGTGCTGATATATTTTATGGTGTTGAAATGAGAGAAAGGAATAGCTGAGTGCTACATTGCACCTACTGTACTGCAACTGCATAGCCTTGACTCTGAAAATATAAAACTGGTATTTATTCATCATCTTCCCCCCCCCACTTCATACTAAATTTAAAACGACAGAGATTTAAATTTATGTTTAAAAATATTTCCCCCAAATTAGTGGGACAATGAAACACATCTGAAAACTACATGGTAGTAGCAGAATATAACATATATCAATACTACTCTGCTGGCAGAAGTACTAAGCGAAGAAAAGCAAGCCTTGCACTACTGTAGAGCTAATTTTATTTTCATTTGGTGGTTTGACAGTGGACACAGGAAGTTCATGGTGAAGCACACAGGACTGAGGTGAGACTGAGTCGCCTCCATTTCCTTTTCTTCAAGACCCATGTGTACTCCTTGAGTAAACTTCCTTTCATCACACAAACAGAAAAGTTAGAGAAGCAGCCTAAACTTTCAAATAATTTGGGCATTAGCAAGAGTTTCTCAAGAAAAGTTTTCTGAATACACTTCTTGCCAACACCTCCAAGCTTTTGGCATTTCACATTCAACCCTGAGCAGTGGTACTCTACTTGCCATTTCTTCGTCTTCGGCTAGAACCAGGTCATAGTCACTCAGTGCCACACAGAAGATGATGGCAGTCACTCCTTCAAAGCAATGGATCCACTTCTTTCGCTCGGATCTCTGACCTCCCACGTCAAACATTCTGAGAGAGGACAAATCATGAGTTGACATCACATTAAATGTTCAAAGGCTCTGTGAGGAGTCTGGGATGCCAACAAAAATGCTTCAAATAGCCAAGGAAATGTGGGATTGAAAGAAAGAAGAAAACAATGCCATAAATTGTTTTTCTCAAAGGGGAAAAAAAGTCTGCTGTTTTCTTAAATATTTGATTGAATGGAGGATATCTCTAAAACAAAAGCAAAGATGAAAATAACCTCAAAAAACAAGACATTCATTAACATAGGAGAACACTTAGAACTTTAAAGGAATACAAATGAATGGACCATCCCTGTGTATCAACACTGAGAAGTCACACGCAGCAACTGGGGAATGCAGAGATCAAACAGTAGATATTCAATTTGCCACAGTCACAGGACATCAGAGGCAGCAGACACAGCCTTCTTCTCTCTTCCTACCACAGAATGTTGTGTTCTCTCAGAGTTGATAAGTAGGATTTTCACGTAAAGTAGAAACCATTCCAGTAACTACTGGGCCTCTGGAAAATTCATGATGCATTTTTTTTTTTAATAGAAAAAAATGTCACGACTTTCCCAGTGACCCAATACAACAACAAAAGCAGTGCAAGCAAATCTAATTCCAATAGGGACTACCCATTAGCCAACAGGATTGCCTAAATTAAAAGGTAAAACTATAGTACAGTAAAAAATGAAGGGATTAACATATGAAATAAATGAGTGGCTATACTGAATAGCCTTGAAATTTAGAGTGAAAGTAATGATTTTTATACAGTATGCTAGTGGACCATTATAGGTTAGTAAATGTGGTAATAACACAATCAAAACAATAAAAAGATAATGGTCTTCTTCATTTTTGCAAGAGTTTATAAAGTTAAGCAAAAGTTGAAATTTGCATAGACTACATTATGCAACCCAGAAACAACCACTTATATAATGGAAACACTATGCAAACTGGTACATTTTTAAAGGCTCCATTTATCTGGATGGTGCACTAATTAAAATAGTCCCTATTTAATTCCCAGGCAAGATAGAATTTTCCCTATAGAGCACTACTGGCCTATAAACCAAATCTGCGTACATCAACTAGTACTGTTACTTCTACCATCATTTAAGCAGCTTCATTCTTTTGGTTTAGCAGTAAATTGTTCATTAAATTTAAGTATGCTATATAACAAAATGACTCCACCATACAGTAAATCAAAACGGTTAAGATACAAAAAGGACAACTGGTAATAAAGATCAAATAAGAATAAAAGAAAAGAAATGTAAATGATTGCAACTGGCTAACTACTTGTTAAACTGCTTAGGAACACGCTATGGTACCCCCAAAAGTTCATGTGCTGGAGTCTTAACTGCCACTGTGACAGTTTAAGAGGGTGGAAACCTAAACCAACTATGGCATTGAGAAGTGGGTGGGGTTTTTTAGGAAATGTTCAGGATAGAGAAGATATTCAGGGTAGGGTGCACGTAACTGAATCCTGTTGGCTTTATAAAAAAAAGGAAAAAAGACCAGAGCTGACACAGACATGCTTGGTCTTGCACTCTTGCCGGGTGAGGCCCTGTGTTGCCTCAGGTCTCTGCAGAGAGCACCCACCAACAAGACCCTCATGGGATACGGTCCCTTCATCTTGGATCTTCAAAACTGTGAGCTAAATAAACCTCTGCTCTTTATAAATCACCCAGACTCATGCATTTCTGCTAAAGTAATACCACAACTAAAGCAGAATATGATCTGAAAATAACTTTACCAAAAAGATAATTTATCTTAGAAAACTTCTCTGAAAGAATATCACATATCTCTTACCCATCTAAAGTAAAATCCCCTTCCATATTCTCTGTGAGAGATGGTTTTGTGTCAACTGGGCTAAACTCTCCTCCTGAAATACTTAATTAAACCCTTCCATAGGTGCTGCTGTAAAGGTATTTTATAGATGTGGCTAACATCTATTGTAATCAATTAACTTTAAGGAATGGAGACTGTCCACAATAATGTGGACAGAGCTCATTCAGTCAGTAGAAAGGCCTGAAAAGTTGTTTCCCAAAAGAAAAGGAAATTCTTCCTCAGGACTACAACAGCTCATGTTCAAACCTGCTGGCCTGCCCTACAAACTTCAAATTTGTCAGCCTGTACAATCACATAAGCTGATTCTTGAAATAAACACAATCTCGTGCTTCTATTTCTCTGGAGAACACTGACTGGAAAAAAAAAAAAAAACAGTACCAAGACTGGGATCCTACTTCAACAAATATCTAAAAATGTGGAAGTAGATGTAGAATTGGGTAATGAGAAGACTCTTGAAGCACTTTAGAGAAAAAAAGTCTAGATCTCTTTGAAGGGGGTTGATAAAAATATATACACTTAAGGTGATTCTCTAAGAGACAATATGGAAGTGAAAAAATAGCAGGAAAGCTTCTATAATCTTAGTGAATGCATATATCATCATCAGTGCAATATTAGCAGTTATGGGAATGTTAAAGGCACTTTGAGATCTCAGGAAGAAATGAAAAATAAGTTATTAGATACTGCGGAAAAAGCTCTCCTTGTTATAAAATGGCCAATAGTTGGCGCAACTGTGTTCTAGTGCTGGGGATGCTGGGAAGACTTGTAAGTATTGAACTTGAATATACAGCTGAGAATCTCTGCAAGCCAAGTGTGGAAGGCTGCAACTTCATTTCTCCTTGCTGCTTACAGTGAAAGAAGAATGGAAAGAGATCAACTGAGGAATTAACCAACAGGCAAAAAGGAACCAGACATACATAGGGAAGAAGGACGTTTGATGAGAAGGAGACATTGGAGTGATAACCACAGTCAAAGAACCCCATGAAGGGCCAGCAACCACCACAAGCTAAGAAGCAGCAAGAAAGGATTCTTCCTTAGAGCCTCCGGAGTGAGCATTGTCTTGGTGCCATATTGATTCCCATCTTCTAGTCTGCAGAACTGTGAGGGGATCAATTTCTACTGGTTTATGCCCACAGTTTGTGGTAATTTGTTATAGTCAGCCCTAGGAAATGAATACAAACTCTTGTCATGCTTCTTTATTGTGTGTGTGTGTGTGTGTGTGTGTGTGTGTGTGTGTGTTTTGCTATATATTCTATTTTTCTCTACGGCACTTATCACCCCCTAAATATTAAATATTTGCTTATGTCCTCTCCTCTCCCACATTTCAATGCTACTCCAGGGAAGTAAGGCAAACACTTTGTCTCTTTTTGTTCATTTTATATCCCAACATAGGACATCCAGCAAGTACTTAATATACATGTTTAGTGAATAAATGAATAAACTGTGCCTACAGAAATGTTTGAAACACTTTCAAGGAATAAAAGACTAGTAATTCTGTTATGTTCAAGATTTAGAACTACCAATTATGTTGTTAGGAAATATTAAATGTAAACAAGCTTTAATTTGATAATCAAATAATTTCACTACAAAATAAATCTCTTCCATTTATTTTATGAACTATAAGTGAATGAGGCCCATTCATATATGTTCACAAGCAAAATAACTTTTAGTCTAAGCTAGTGGTTCTCAAACTTGGCTGTGGATCAGAATCACCAGCTGAGCCTAATTGATGTTACTGGTCTGGGGAGCACACTTTGAGAATCAATTAATCCATAAACCAAGGAGCAAAAATGACAGAGAACTGGTATTATGAATGCTCAGACTGTGCTTCATAGTTTACTAGCATTTAGCCAGAGTCAGATGAAGATGATGACTAGATAAAACACAAGGGTTTTTTTTGTTTTTTTTTGTTTTTTTTTTTTGGTTTTCATTTTAACAGAGAAGGATAAAAAAAAGTGCTGAGCACTATTCATTTTTCCACACATATGAGATATCTTTACTATTTTATATACTGTTCTTTAAATTCTGAACATCAACTAGAGAAAAAAAGAACAGAAAAGAACAAAAGATATGGTATATTCTTTTTCACATGAAAAGACGAGACTTATGACTAGTATTAAATAGGGAATAAAATTTAGTTTTCTTTTTTCCCCCCTTTGGAGGGTGCGGTAAAAGCAGATGCTGGACATTCCTGAGATGTACTGACTCATCCTTAGACTGTCATCTAATACGACTGTGACCCAGACTGACCAGTACAAAGCTAGTTGGCCATATATGGGTATCACTCATAAATAAGACATTGTATTCTAAAACCTACTACATATTTTTACCACTTTAAAAAAGGACTAAAAATTAGTCTTATATTATATTTTAGAACAGAATGAATGCTTTCACTCTACGTCTGGCAAAAAAAGAAAAAAAATTAAGAGTGAAATAAACCATTAATTCTTGAATTAAAGCAACATCATCTACTTAGACACTGGCCCTAAACGCCTCATCACAGATGTGATAATAGGATTCCTTAATAATGTCCTGTGGCCTCATTTTGAATTTGTAAATACCATTCACACACAAAAAAAGTGAAACTCATATTTTACTCAGCAGTTAGAACCAGACAAAGAATTTTACATGAAACACACTGAACTACCAAGTGATGACCATACTGGAGAGTTCCCAGAATTATTTCTAAATGCATTTCTGCCTTTCTTCGTTTAAGGTCCACGGTCCATGTAACATATAAAAAGCAAAGTTAGAATCATATCTTAGCAATGACAGTAATTTAACAGAAGTAAAATCCAAAATAAGACAAAGTTTATCTGAAGTTCCTAAAAACACCTGTGTTTATCATTACGTTGGTAAATAAAACAGTGACTAAAATATCCTCTGCAATTGTACCTTATCCTAACAAGGAGCCTAAAAGACTAAGATAAACGGACATCCCAGAGTGATCACGGCAAGAGCCAATTTTACTGAACTCTTGCCTCATGCTAAAATGACAACTTTGGAAGTGAAAAGTATGGTCTGGAAGGAAATGTTTAAAAGTGCCTGTAAAAAACAGCAACAAAACAAGAGAGCGCCTGTAACCATCATTAAAAGTGAATTTTATGTCGTCAGATTGTATTAAGTTCCAAATAAATGCTATGACTTTGCCGCAGTCATTTCTCATCATTTATGGAATTCTTGTTTTACAACGTTTTGTTAATAAGCAGATAACTCATTTTACTTTAAGTCTCTGACAAAGGACAAGACTAAAATAGTCGCTCTGTTAAGAATCTTAACCAAGTTTAAGCATCTACTTAATACAGAAACCTAACTCTACAATCCTTACTTGCCTAATCTAACTTCATGCGTTTTCTTCACAGACTATCCTGCTTAGAAATATGCCACTACCCGAATATAACAACATAATTTTTTTTTAGGACATGGTATTTAAAATGAGGTAAATAAACAAACAAAAAACATTAGAATTTAAGGTGCACTAGATTAAAGGAAAACCAAAATAGTAAAACCTCATTCTAACAGTACACTTCTTTATAATAAGTATCACCTCACGATTTTAAAATAAATGTGTCAATGGCCCCCAGATCAATCACACCAAGCTATCAGAAATGAGAATACTCAGCTTGGCTTTTTAATATTCTTAAAGTAGTACTAAGAACACTATAAGGAGGTAAATGATTTCAGTAAGAAATAATGCCAGCAGCAAAAAAGGTCCACTGAGGGCTTCAAAAAGATTGAACACAGAAAAAATATTAAAAGCATATGTAAAACCATACAACATATTAAAGCACAAAGTTAATACTGCAAGGTTTATGAATTATGATTGGTATCTTTGTTTAATAAAAGCAGGACAAGGTCAGTTCTGTAGCATAGCAGTTACGTGCCATGCAGGGGAAGCCAGGTTCCAGGTGACTAACCAAGGTTCAAGTTCTGGCCTTGGTGACTTACAATCTAGGCATGGGTTGCATGCCCAGGATCCTGGTGAGATAGAGTAGGAGGAAAAATGGCTGTGGTATGACCAGGTCCCTCTGGAGAGGGGGTGTGCTGTCTCTCCTCTTCTCTCTTTTATGAGTGCACATACCTTCTCTGGCATTAAAACAAACAAACAAACAAACAGAACAATGTACATTGCAGGATGACAGTAGCCATGGAAAACTGAAATGAAATCTTAGTTCTCTGGAAAATTCAATGATATGACCACAGATAATTAGTGACAAATGAGAGTAACAAATGTATATATTAAATATGCTTAGAGGAGCAATGTGAGATGTACATACATGTCTTTATGCTCACAACTTGCAGCAGTCAACTCGCTTTATGAGGTGAACTAATAATTTATTTGTTTTCTTACGTCTCAGTGGAAACTTCTGTTTTTAACTTTTTAAAACTTTTGCCAGAGGATGTGTGTGCTTACCAGAGAGACAGAGGCAGAAAGAAGAAAAGTGAGAAAGCAACTTCCATGGGGAATGGTCACGCTTCAATCCCTTCTCCTCCTGCATTTCTTTTTGGGCACACATGCACATGCACCCAGTATGTTTCTCAAGTTGCTGGCCCAGGACTTGAAGCACAAGGTTGGCCATGCGGGATCCAGCCTCCTTAATGACCAGGCTACTAGATGGCACTAGGGACCTTTTTAAAAGATGTATTTAGAAATTCTGCTTTGTTATCATCACTAAATGAGAGCATTAGAGTTAAGTAAAGCAAAATTTAACCTGTTAGTTTTTATTGAGACCTTATTTAAGTCAATTATTCAAAAATTGAATCACAAACTTTGTAATCAAAGTAAAAAAGAAAATAATTTTTAAAAATGCAGGACACTCCATTAAAATAAAATAAAATACAGATAAACTACTTTTCCACAAACTTAGAATTTGATAGTTTGTTATTGCTTTTCTCTTCTTTTACATTCTACTTTTTTGGTATTGTGGGGTAGAACAGATTACAAGTTAAATGAATATCAATACAGTCTTATGAAATTTGAATTTCAACAAAGAAAACAATATCTTCCACTAAACATGACCTGAAAATATATCATAAGCAGATAACAAATGATTTCTCTAATCTCGCATAGTATTTAAAAACTCAAAACTTAGAAAAACATGAGGTATAAAAATGATGAACATTTTCATAAAAAAAAATCAAACACATCATAAATAAGTGTTTTCTACTCTGATGTTGTACAAAGACAACCAGATTACACTCAATTTGAGACATCTCCATAAAGCTCTGCAGATGTAAGATGGCATCTGATGGCACCTACATCCATAATTCTAACCTTCCTTAAAACCAGTCTTAACCTAGTTGAGTTAAAAAAACAAAATACCTGTTAACTAAAATAAAAAATAATAATAAAAGAACAAAACAACTATAAATCTATAACTCAATCCTGACATTATTATTATTTTTATTTCCAAGAATAATTACTGGTAAACATTTATATGGTGAAGGGAATGCATGGGTTTTAGGTAGGGTGAACGATGTGACTTATGCATTTAACATCATTAGACGCTGCCTCAGAAGGGCCTCAAAAGCTGTGCAAGGGCTTGTGTACAGTGTCCCTTCTGCTGAACATTCATCTAACATTTAGGAAACATGACATTTTAAATGAACTTGAATTATAAGAAGTCAGAAGGTTTTTTTTTAAGACGAACTCCTGCCAGTCCCTTCATTCAGCTTCATGGTTTAAACAAATACTAAGGGAGGAAAAAAGAAATATCCACAATTTTTTTAATCAACAAGTTTTAAAAAATATTTTTTCATTCATTATTATTATTATTCTTTAATTTGACCAGAGAGAGACACACACACACATAAAAAGACAGAGAAAGCAAGCTACCAGGTCTGGGACTCTAGTTGCCCCATCAGCCTGTGGGAGTCCAGTGCCTTGGTGACAGTAACTGCTGGCCCCCAAGTCAGTAATTTTTAAGATGAAATAACACTAGTGATTTGGGACTTCTATGAAAACAGAATTTTTGTTTCAGTAGAAAATCCTGTGATGTTAAATTATCTTATTTAACCCTTTTGTTAGTGCCTCTGTCTTTCTCTTTCATGGAAGAAATACACAGGCTTTTTAAAAAAAATTATCTCACTTTGTTTATACCTTTACATAGACTAGACAATCTCTTTTTTCCACAATTTTATGTGATATTTTAGCCAGTGTAAAGTGAACAGAAATGATGAATAAGAATGCATACTTAATGGCCATTTTAATTTGATGAACAGTGAGATTAGTGAGAGCATTTAAAGAAAGTCATGGTACCTACAATCGGGTAACGAATGACCTAGAAGGGAAAATTACATTAAAGTAGCTGACCAGGAAGGTTATTTACAGAGAAAACATGAATCTGCAAAGTAAAGCATTAGTATTTGATTTTGTTCAACTCCAACAGTTTTTCTCATTATCTTGAAAATGACTATTGGTTTTTTGGAAACGTCATGAAGCATTTTTACATAGAAAAACATAGAAAAATATGTCATGACTTTTCCAGTGACCCAGAATTTACTGGAAAAAGAGAAACGCAGTTCTATAATTTGAATGTAATGTCTATAATTTGAATGCAATGTTTTATTGAACTCCCTGGGCCTTCCTGACTTATTACACAGTAAGAGGACTAAACAAAATGAATTCCATGATCCTTTCCATTTCTTTTTTTTTTTTTCCTTAAATTTTACTAAGGGCACATGCACTCACTGAAGAGAGAGAGACAGGAAGGTGGGCGAGGGGCGGGGGTGAAAAAGCAATCCCCAGGAGCAACGGCCATGCTGTAATCCCTCTTCCTCCATTCTCCACTCCGGATTTTGGGCATGCATGCACATGTGTCCTGCGTGCCTTTTGAGCTGCCAGGGTCAACTGCACTGTTGGCCATGTGGAATCCAATTGCCATAACCACCATCACTGGTTGGCCCAACCCCTTCCATTTCTAAATGCTACAATTTAGTGCTTCTCTGTTAATATTCACTACATTTTAAATAAATGTTTTTCATTGTGAAATAGCACAGACAGTTCATTATGAATAAAATTTCATAAACACTTTAAAAAGTTGCCCCCTCCTTTTTTTTTTTTTTTTAAGGTTTTTGCTGTAGGATATAAGTATTCACCAGAGAGAGACAGAGAAAGAGGGAAAGCAAGAAATCACGCCCCAGGGGAGGATGACCATGACACAATCCCTTGTCCTCTTAGGATGTGGGGCACACACTCATGCCCAGCATGATTTTCAAGCCACCGGGTCTGGGGCTTGAAATGCAGTTGATCATGTCAGGAGTCTAGCACCTTAGCCACTACATGACCTGCTGACTCCAGTTGCCCCATTTTTAACAGTTCTATTAAAAAGCATATATTTAATAAGTAAAACTCTTATTTCTTTTTGCCTTAACATGGATGGCAAGACTTTCCTAAAGCATACATTAGAACAGCACTTTCTGTTCAGAAACACAAGCCAAAGGGTAGTTTTAATTAAATCACTATAAAAACTATATACAAGAATACTTCCCTGGCTATATTTTGTTAAATAAACATAAATATATTCTTCCTAAGAATGGTTCTTTTTGTCCTCTTTAATTATAAAATTCTTTTGTCCAATTATTTGAGAAATTTGTTTTTTTCAAAATAAGGGTAATTTCCAACCATAAAAATGCTATAGACTTTTTATTATTATACGTTTTATTTCAAAAGCAATGTGTTTTATATTTAAATTTATAAAGGATGTTTTTAAACTACTCACTTAAAATGAAGATCTTTGAAAGTAAAATGGGTTTCAACAATTCCTGTAGTTTTCACTCTCGTTCTAAGAACATCTTGTTGAGTTGGGATATAATTTGACTGTGCTATTCTGTCCAAGTCATTCAAGTAGCTGAAAAAACAAACAACAAAACAACATGGTAACAGACAAATCAGCCAATAAAGATCATTTAAAACCAAGAATAAAACACATTTTGATGCATGAAATACTCTCAAATCACTGGAAACTTTAAAACTTCTGTGTAATAATGGAAAACAACCAATATAAGTTTATTTCTTACATATATCAGAGTGAAATGAAAATGTTTATACTTCTTCACAAAGATGAAAGCTTCACAAAGCGTTTTCAGTCTTTTAACATTTTTTCAAAATGTGTACTTTGTTTCTTAAGGACAACAATTAGTAGTTCAAAGAAAAGACATTATTTATTTATTTACTTTTGGTGAGAAATTTAGGACTATAGTGCTCGTGTGCTCACAGAGAGACAGAAAGTGAGAAACCAATCCCCCAGAAGGGGATGGCCATGCCTCAATCCCTTCTCCTCTACTCTCCTCTTGGGATTTTGGGCACACATGCACATGCGCGCCTGGTGTGAGTTTTAAGCTACCAGGTCCAGGACTTGAACCGTGGTCAACTATGTGGGAATCCAGCAACTTAACCAATTATACTATCTGCTGGTCCTCCTGAGTTTGTTTCTTTAAAAAATTGTGATTACACTTTTTTGGTGTAGCACTGTGTTTATGTTCCAGACATTATTCTTTTGTTGAAGTGTTTTTTTTTTTTTCTTTTTAGGTTTTGGCTATAGGGTACATGTACTTGTCAGAGAGGTAAAGAGAGAAGGACAGAGAGATAGAGGGAGAGAGGGATAGAAAAATCACTCCCCAGGGGAGTCCCTTCTCCTCTACTTTTCTCTTGGGAGTTTGGGCACAAACACACACACACCTGGTGTGTTTTTCAAAATTGCAGGTCTGAGAATCAAACCATAGAGCTGGCCATGCAGGATCCCATGCCTTAATCACCACGTCATCTGTTGGCCCTCTTTTGTTGAAGATTTTTTAAATATGAATTTGACCAGCCACTGCAGTGCAGCCATAACCAACACTTCACCACGCTGAGGTCACATAGGAAGGTCCAGATTCATGTCCCCAGGTCTTACTGTTAGGGGTGTGTATGAGCGGCTGATTTGGGATCTGGCCAAAGGCTGGTGGAATGAGATGCTGTTTCCTGTCAAGCCACTTTACATTATGTATAAGAAAACACTGCATGTGCTCCTTTACTCTGAATTTTACTGTTCTCTAAATCAACACCTGTATTTTATCTCTAAATGCTTCTAGTTAATCATCTAGTATTCTTTTCTATTGATACCAAATATCTTGTGATGTAAAAATCCAGTGTTATCATATACAATGAAAATAAAAAATGTATACAATGTAGGATTTTAAAAATTGGGGTCAAATTATTAGGTCATCAGGAAAGTCATGACATTTTTCTATGCAAAAGCGCATCATGATTTTTCTAATGACCCAACATATGAGAGAGTCTAAAATTTATAGAAAGTCCAAATATGGAGAGATTAATGTGAACATAGCATTTAGAGAAGTATTTATGTACAGTGAAGGATAGAAATAGAAACACGAATAATGGGATGGAAAAGCTGTCAATCAGTATGGAGACAAGAATAGTCACGTCTTTTTTCCTGGAGAGTAAGGCTATTATATTAGTAGGGCTGTCGACAACCTTACACAGGAGTCTGGCGCAACTCTTAATGTCAGCTGAATGTGTGCAGCACATTCAGCTTATGAAAGGAGCTTATGAAAGACAACTTAGAAAATGAGTCTTGGTACAGAGGGGCACTAAACTAAAAGGGTGCCTCAAAAATTTCATGAAAAGCAGAATTAAAGCACACACTCATTACAGTGCCAACACTTTTTGAAATCCATGCATAGTTTTTTTTTTAAGTCATTTTCCATGAATTTTTTTTAGGAATCCATGTGTTGCAATTTAAAATGTTATCCTCTGTTGTTCAGTTATTTAGAATGCAGTCCTGCAAATAAAAGGAGCTCAATAAATACTTGACTTGGTGGGCTGGAAGTGAGAAAACAACGCAAACACTAAATTAGTAACAAAAATGTTTGGGACTGTCACATGTTCACGGAGTTGACACTAGAATACATAGAATGACAGCTTGAGTCATCTACACTGTATTGACTAAGAGTCATGATACACTGGTGTTGATAATCCTTCAGTACTTTATATGTGCTTTTCATTCCACAAACATAATGTTACACATTATTGTAAGACAATCTGATTTAAGAAGCAAAACAAGTCATGGCTAGATTTTACTTACTGCCCCTTTAACATAGTAAGTTACTCTTAAAATGCATTGATGACTCACTGAGAAATTTCTTCGCTTAAAACTGCGATCCTCCTAATAATCTCTAAAGATTATGTACATTTATATTTTAACAGGAAAAAAATAAGAATGAGCATTGTGAAAAACTCCAGTTAATTACATGATCACAAGTTTAAATGGGACCCGGTAGTCAACGGTCCTAATGGGCAATGTGGCAGCATTCCACCATCTCCAGCCAAGCTGCCCTCTAACCCTAGGTGAAAAGCTTGCCTTGACTTTCTTTGTTCTTAAAAAAATGGCTGCATTTAACTTTAAGATCAGAACTACTAGAAATGAAATAACAGAGAGCCAAAGTAACACATTTTTTCTCAATGCATGTCCTAGCAATATGCACAAGACTGAGTTGGTCAAAGATCGAGAGGGTTGAAAAGCCCCCCACCCCGTGGCAAGGAAGCAAACTTCAATCTATTGTCCCCAAGTGACACCCTTTAACTAGTGGAGTCTTTGCTGGTCTCAGCTCAGGGCAATCTTCTCGCTCCAACTGTGATTCCTATTTAAATCTTTCCACAGGTGCTGGTGGTGCCAAAAAAAAGTATTATTGCTTAAGTGTTGTGTTCTTCCTCTAAGTAGTTCTTCCAACTTTTCTTCTAGCCTCTATGAAGTCTGGTTTATGAACTCATTCATTATTAAACAATATCACACTGAGTGATGACTGTGTCAGGCTATAAGAATATAACATTAGGCAAAAACAGACACTGAATTTACCGTGTAGTGACAGAAACAGAAAATAATCAAGTAACTATGGCATATACATAAATCATGGGCCAGGAGGTGGTGCTATGGTAGCACAACTGGAGCCACATGAGAAAGATCCGAGTTTGAGTCCTGGGACCTCCCTGAGCACGTTGGGCACACACATGCCCATGATCTGGGCAGTTGAGACTGCAGGTAGATCGTGCCATGTTGGGGGTGCTCTTTCCCTCTCTCCTCCTCATCTCTCTTCTCCCATGGAAGAAATAAACAGGTAAATTTCAAATAAAAGTAATAATAACTGGGACCAGCAGATGGTGTAATGGTTATGTCGCTGGACGTCCACATAGTCTGGTGGTTTGAGTCCTGAATCCCATGACTTAAAACTCACAACGGGCGTGTGTGCATGTGTGTCCAAGATTCCAAGAGGAGAATGGAGGAAAAGGGACTGCAGTGTGGCCATCTCCTCAGGAGTGATTTCTCATTTTCTGTCTCTGTCTCTCTGGTAAGTGCACATACCGTATAGCAAAAAACAAAAACAAAACAAAACAAAAACAAACAAAAAACTCTCAGAAAAAAAACAATAATAACAACTTAGATCTTCTAATACCTGTCATCTTCTATCTAACCCTTACTTGTACCTATCTCTAAGAATCAATAGCCCTGTCAAGAAAAAGGAAAAATCTTAGAAAGTAAAATGAGTACATAGCACATGATTTAAAGACCAATTAATGCTACAAATATCATATCTGACATTTTTAAGTATGTGTGCCAAATTATAAAAACAAGTATTTGATTTGTTTTCTTCTCTGCAAATCACTAAACGGAAAGCTCCCTGATCAGGTTTGATCACAACTGGCTTTACAAACTTTCTAGGGCTACCATATGAAAAATCATGGCACTTTTGTCAATAGTGTATACTACATCGAGTCACATGCAATTGACATTTTTCAAGTTTAGAACTAGTTTACTAAGTGAGAAAATATCTTGGGACTACCAGGCATTCCTACAAAAATATCTTTATGGGGTGTCTGTCATTAAATAAGTAACTCTTCCCAGGCACTGTTAGTGAAATGAAAAGCTTCCAAATCAGTTACTTTCTCACTTAGCTAGCTCCAAGTAAACTATAGATACACCCAAATTTGGAGTAAAGTTTGGGAAGTTCCAGTTACTTTCTTGGAAATACACTGGAAACAGTCCCATTCTGCATGTTTCAATAAGCATTAAGTCTCTTGAGACACTATTGAACATACAGGAAATAGTGACACTGCTGTCTATAAACATATAACAAAAAGAAGAGTCCAAATATTGTCATTTGAAGACCCTAAATTGTGTAAGAATGTGTCAGCCAATTCTGCAATAAAATTAACTTACAGGTCCATCTGACTTGCAAGTAATTTATTTATAATAGTTTAGTTCCAAAGTTATGATTACTTACTATGCTGCAGAATCATTAAGCTGGTACTCTCGGGATCTGTTGAAACAGGCTTGTACACCACTATCTTTCCACAATCTCTTTATAACTCCAGCAAGTTCAGCAGTCATAAAGCCTTCTTCAGCAGCTCCAGCAAGCACAAAGAGTTGGCGGGCATCATCCTGAATATTCAAAGAGGATTTTTTTAAAAAGTAAGAATAGAGGCATGAAAGATAAGATATACAAAGGGGGACATTAGGGATTAGAAAATGATTTTTACTGGAGTATGGTAACTTCCCATCTCTAAAGCACCACTTAAAATCTATTTTCTACATTAGTAACATCTATCAAGACACTAGGTTACTGGAAGACTAAAGCTCATGAAGGAAACAATTATCCACTGACAGTTGGTTGTGTGGCTGTGTACTGAGATGATCATTCTTTTTTTTTGGGGGGGAGGTTTTTGCTATAGGGCGCATGCACTCGCCAGACAGAGACAGAGAGACAGAAAGTGAGAAATCATCTCCCAGGAGGGATGGCCATGCCGCAATCCCTTCTCCTCCATTCTCCTTTTGAGATCTTGGGCACGCACACACACGCACCCGGCGTGAGTTTAAGCCACCGGGTCCGGGACTCAAACTGTGGTTGACTATGTGGGAGTCTAGCGACATAGCCATTACGCTAACTGCTGGTCCCCAAGATGATCATTCTTAAAAACACAGAAGAATCTATGTTTTATTCCTCTCTCCCAAAAATGCATTTAATCTAAGAAACATATAACATCTTTAGAGAATACTTAAAAATAGAACCCAACTGTTAGCTTTCTGATATACTTTACAGAAGCAATGTAAGAGAAGAGAGAAATATATAACAAGTGGGAATAATTTCACAGAATGGTCTGAGATTTTCAGGAGACTTTAAAGTATGTACATATTAAAATCAATGGGGCAAGAACTGGGAACAGGTGGCTTGCTAATCCAGGTACAGAAAATAAATAAGCAAAGCTTTGCAGTAGAAATATTCATAATGTATATAGACGACGACATGCAAAAAATTCTAAACTGGAATACTGTATATAAAGTTAATTAAATTTAGCTGCTTAAATTTTGAGGCTAGTAATAATTATAGTTATTCTGATCCATAAGTAATCAACCACCCTAGATCAGTGTAATCCAAGAGAACTATAACATGAGTCATGAGTGTAACCTAAATTTTCTTTTATTTTAAAAATTATTTATTTTACATAAGCCCATTTTATTTTAAATTTTTATACATTCAATCACTATACATCACTTAACTTGTAAAGTGACTTTTCCAACATGAACATATTTCACACTAGTCCAGTTGGGGATATTATACACGGTATCGTCAACAGCTAATAATCCATTTCTGTATCCCATAAATGTCTTGCCTCTCTATTTTTTCTTCTTAAAGTCTTTCCTCACACTCTCCTCCTTCTCCTACCCTCTTCCCAAACTGTATTTGGCATCTATAACCATTTTCCATGTTTCTATATCCTCTAATCTTTCAGTTTCAGTCACAGAGTATGGATAGTCAGTATATATTAAGTGGAGACATGCATTGTCTCTCATTTATAACCTGGGTTGCTTCACTCAGCAGTAAATATTCCATATTCATCCACTTTCTACCAAAAGCTAGAGTCTTGTTGTTTTTTATGGCTTAGTAGTATTCCATAGAGTACACATGCCACACTTTTTAATCCATTATAATGTTCACGGATATTAAATTAAAAGAAATAACAGATACAATTAATTTTTAAAAATAATTATTTTTTTCGACTTTACTTATTTAATTTTGATCAGAGAGGGACAGAGGAGAGAAAGTGAGAAAGCAAGCTGCCAGGTCCAGGACTCAAACTGTGGTCAGCCATGTGGGAGTCCAGTGCCCTTAACCATCACACCACCTGCAGGCCCCCAGATACTATTAATTTTAACAATGTACTTTAACCTATATATAAAAACATCATTTCAACATATAATCACTGTAAAATTATGGACTATTTCATATCTACTTTTATACATATTAAGTCTTTGAAATCTGTTGGGTTTTTATACACACAACACATCTCAGTTCACACTAGACACATTTTAAATACTAAATAGCCACATGTGTGTAGTTGCTACCACAATGAGTAACATAACTCTAGTTTACAGGTAATAAGATAGTTAATACAAAGGCAAACTGTCAAGTTGCTATCTTTATAGAGATTCTCTTCAGTCTGAGGCAGATAGTTGTATATTAAATGAGTGGATAATCCCTAATTTCTCTTAAGGAGTATTTGTCCGAAGTAGTATAGCAGGTATTTATAAAGTGATGGCACATGTCATGATTAGGTATAGACAGAAGCATTTGGTGACATAGGCTAGCAAGGTACTAGCTGACAACATAAATCTACCCTATTGCCAATTTCAGAATCATTTTCTTTTCAGCTAGAAGCCATCATGAAAAATAATTAAGTCTCTCAGCATGGGAACATATTATTCAAGCATATGTTTCCCTTTTTAGGAAACCACAAGAGAAATGCCTGTAGGCAAGAACATGTGTACTATATCCTAAACAAAGCAAACCCACATAACGTGCTTTCAAATCACTCTTAGCACCATGAGCCTAATTCCAATAAACAGTTTATTCAATTTTCCAAATACCTAGACATAAGAAACTTCTAAACTTAACTTTGATTGATTAAAATACATCAAACATAATTTCTCTATTTTAGAAAAGTAATTTTGTACTTGTTTTAAAATAACCTTTTATTATATATTAATTTAATTTGAATAAAAATTGTTAATTAAAAAAACCAAATCCCTTTCCGTATAAGATCACATAAGATTAGTCTCATTGAACCAACCAAATGTCCAAACAGATGAATGGACTGAAAATGTGGGACACATGTACAGTACAGAATACTACTCAGCCATAAAAAAAAAAAAAAAGAAAAAAACCCTGGCATTTGATAGAAAGTAGAAGAATATGGAAGATTTGCTGATGAGTAAAGTAAGCCAGACTATGAAAGAGAGGCATTGTATGTCCCCATTCAATATATACTGAATGCCTGCACTCTATGGCAGAAACTGAAAGACTGGAAGATATAAAAGCATAGAGAACAACTGTGGATACTGTAGGCAGTGTGGGAGAAGGGTGGGAAAGGGGAGAGGGTGAAAGGAAGGGAATCAATGGGGAAAAGAAAGAAGCAAAACAATTAAGGGATACAAAAATGGAAAATTATCTCTTGATAATATATGTATGATATCTTTAGACTAATATACAGTGTATTCATGCTGGGGAAATTCATTTTGCATGTTATAATGATATATAGTGATTGAATGTATAAAAAAGAAATAAAATTCAGAAACAAAAATCATAATTGTACCAAATTTTTGAGGAAAATATCTGAAGAAAAGACTTAAGAAAGGTTCGAGATTTTAATGGCAAATGGCTCTCTTGTAGCATTTTAAAATGTCTCTCTCTCTCTCTCTCTCTCTCTTTTTTTTTTTTTAAAAAGATTCCACACCTAAAGGAGATCATACAACATTTTTTGCTTTGTGTGTGGCCTATTTGCTTAGGAAACAAAAGTCAGCTATACAGAGATAGAGAATAAAATGACAATTATCAGGAGAAGAGAGAGATATATTCCAGTTATGTAGATGAACAAATCTAAAGGTCTAATGTACAATGGGAAGGCTACAATAGTAAAATTGTATTCTACGAGAGACTTTCATTAAATAAGTAGATTTTATGTGTTCTTACCACAAAAATGTAGCTATATAAGATGATGCTATATCTATCAGTTTCACTAAAGAAATCTATTTATTAGCTATACATATCCTATATCATGTTATAAGCCTCACAGTAAAAAGCCACACAATAATAATAAAAACAAAACAAAACAAAACAAAAACTTGTAAGCCACAGGGTGTGTGCACTTGCCAAAAAGACAAAGAGAAAGAAAGAGGGAGGAAGCACTCCTTAGTGGGGTATGGTCATGTCACAATCCCTTCTTCTCCATTTCTCTATCCAGTCAGGATTTGGGGCATGCATGCATTCATATATGCCTGGTGTGTTTTTCAGGCCCCTGGGGCCAGGATTTGAACTGCACAGTCAACCATGTGGGCTCCAGCACCCTTACAGTTCCATAGCTAATTAGTCATCAGTCATATAAACCAGTAAGTCAACAATTAATAGGTAGCCATTTTCTAGCACAGGATTCATTTTAAAACTAGAGAATGATCTTATCTTGTCATGGGATTAGGTCTTTTAAAGATTTATGTAAAACAAAATTACATAGTAACACAAAAGAGCGCGACAAAGAGTGAACAATAAGGGTAGGGATTACTGAGTTTGTCAGGAAGACTCCAGGCTCATAAAGCAGTGTTCAGAAACTCTTTCGTTGTCTTACAATAAAAGAAGAAAAGTGCTATTTGCCAGGCAATTATTTGAGAGTACCAAGGAAAACTCACTGGAGGTAGCCAAGTTAAAATGGTTTTCGAATTACTAGGAATTAAATTAAAATACAGATGCTTTAAAAATGCAAATTCCAGTTCACATAATAGTACTCTGGGAACTCAGAAAGGATCTAGAAACACTACTGTGTCAAGAAACAAACAGTAAGTCTTCTTTTCCCAGTGATGGTCGGCAAACACCCAGCACACTGTATTTATGCTTAATGAAGCCCATTTTGGTGTTTTGCGGGGGAGGAGGTCGTGTGCATGGTGGGGGAGGAGGTCGTGTGCATGGTGGGGGGTGGGGGGAGAGAAGGGTAATTCTGACTGGGACTCACCATGTCATGGTCCTTCAGTCCCAAAGTCCCAGGTAGCTAGGACCACAGGTGCATGCCACTGAACCTGGGCCTCCATGTGCCCCCCAGTCATCATGCAGCAGGGCCCTCTGGCTTGTGCCACTGTGGCTGGATCGGCAAACATACTTTATGAAGCTGTCACTCACTCTAAGAATTCAGAAGAGTCTGCCCAAGATGGGGAAGAGAAGATTTTAAGGGACCATGATGGCTGTTTTCTGACATACAAGGATCATAAAAAGAAAGAGTAGACGTCCTATTTAGGCACACTTGGGACAAATGGCACATTTCAGTTCAATGAAGGAACATTTTTAGGGACCAGGCAGTAGCACAGTGGTAAGAAAACTGGATCTACATGGGAAAGGTCCT